TCGAACGGGAGCGCCGTTCCGGAGTAAATTGTGAGGAAGTATCAGATGGGAGCGGGGGTCCTGACTAAATTGCGAGGAAGTCACAGGCGGGAATACCGATCCTGAGTAAATTGTGAGGAAGTCTCAGGAGAGGGGTAAATTTGGAGGAAGTCTCAAGCGGGAGCCGTTGTTGTTGTAATCCAGGGGGCCAGGGGCCCAGTTTGAGCACCAAGACTTTCCCTGTCAAAAAACCAGGTGCGAGCGTCGAGGGGCACACTTTGATTGAGAAAAACAATATGTACCGGTGAGGGGAGATCAACAATAATTACTCTTCTGAAATGAGAGTTCAACAACAACAACAACAACAACAACAACAACAACAACAACAACAACAACAACAGCAACAACAACACCACCACCACCACCACCAACAACAACAACAACAATAGCTCAACATAGACAATGAAAGTTCAACAATCACAAGCGAAGGTTTATATTAGAAAATGCTTTTTCCAGAACCAAAAAATCCCGAACCCAGAACCTCGGACCTCGCCTGGCCGGAACCGGTGCTGAGCCGACTCAGACCCCCCACCCGACTCCAGTGCTAGATAGGAACTGCGGCGCGAGCCGCGCCCCAACCGCCGCGAGGGCGGCGGCGGCGAGAAGAACCGCCGCAGCGGCCCACCGCGCCCCCGGCCTGGAGCAGGACGGCGCCAGCCGCGCACCCGGCCCCCACCCTGGCCGGGCCCACCTCGGCTGCATCCAGGAGTGGCCCTGGGCAAGAGATATGTTGCTCCCATCGTGCTCGATGGCCACATCCCAGAAAAGAATCGAGCACGCAGAGCAGTATCGGAGCAGTGTCTCCCCGATACGCTGGCGACGTGTCGGATGAGTATCGCCTCCCTCCCTAGGCCCGACACGTGCAAACCCCTCAGTTTCGGTACTTCATTGATGCTCGAAATTCTTCCGCGGGGGAGGCCAAATGTAAGACGACGCCAGGACGAGGATAAAATCGGATGAGGATGAATCGAGAATCTCTGAGATCCCGCGGCTCTGGGGGATGTATCGGACGCCGTGGCCTTTTCAGAGCGTTCTGGAACGCTCTGAATACGTTCTGGAAGGCTCTGGGTAGGATTTACACCCTCGTCCTAGCCCCGTCCGAAAATGTACGCGATCCAAGCGTGCCAGCCAGTGCTGGCGGGACCCCCTGAGCCCGCAACAGAAAGGTCACTCCTGCGAAGGGTCTCCACTCTTACGCTTAGGTCGGGCATTTCCTCCTGCAGGCGGATTTTGAAGGAAAAGGAAACAGAATCAAAAAGTGCTCCGAAATAGTTGTTTGGCTTTGGAAAAATTGTTTAAATCAATATGTTTTAATATATGTGGGAGGAGGAAAAAACAACAACAACAACAACAACAACAACAACAACAACAACAACAACAACAACAACAACAACCACAACCACAACCACAACCACAACCACAACCACCACCACCACCACCACCACCACCACAACAACAACAACAACAACAACAACAACAACAACAACAACAACAACAACAACAACAGCATCATCATCATCATCATCATCATCATCATCATCATCATCATCATCAACAACAACAACAACAACAACAACAACAACAACAACAACAACAACAACAACAACAACAACAACAACAACAACAACAACAACAGCAACAACAGCAGCAGCAGCAGCAACAACAACAACAACGTCCCCGCATGATTGTTTCTTACTAGATTTGACTGTTCCTCCTGTAGAAGGACATGCCCGACTTAAGCGTAGGAGGCCCTCGCCGGGCCCCTCCAGTGGGAGCTCGTGCACAAGAAGCCTCCCACAAGAAACCCAACCCTGAGACCCCGGGAGGTCCACCACTGATTTCTGGCGCGGGGACGCCGCGCTTCTTCCACAGCAAGACCACCGAAACCCCAGAAGCCCAGGGCACCCTGGAGGCGAGCAGGGTGTCTCTTGGCATGGGTCCCCACCAGGAGACGGCTCGGGATGAGAAACCTGTCCCTCGGACGGGGCCGGAACGTCCGTGGGGGCTGCATTGGACGAGGAAAGACCAAAAAAATCAGAAACAAAACAAAACAAAAAAAACGGGACATCGCGCATGTCTCGGCGGTGGACAAACCTCCCTTTAGTAAACCTCCCCTTAGTGTAAACGGCCTGGGACCGAAACCGACGAACCTGGACCCGCACAAATGACGGCCGCGACGCCATCTCGCGAACCGAAAACGGCCAATTCCTTAATCGACGTGTCAGGGTAGGAGGTCTGTCCACCCCCGAAACAAAAGGGTCTTACGCAGGGTGCCATAGCGACCTCACGCGGTGGCTTGCGCGGGCCGCCGCCGCGGCACGCTGCGTTGGAAAGGAGGGCGCTGGCGCGCGAACTTACGCAGGACGCTTACGCGCCAATGCTGGCGAAGACGACCCCGTCTCGTACGTCGATCAGTCGGCTACACGCAAGAGTGACCCTTGGTAAGAGTGACCTCTGGTGCGCGGCTTCCTGGGGGCCGCACGGGGACCGAACACGATCGCGCAAGACGCTACTACCTCGTCGCGCTCGGCAACCGGGGTAGCCCCCAGCGGGTCCGCACAGAAGGTCACTCCAGCGAAGGGTCACTCTTACGTGTAGTCGGATCATGTGTGCGACTTCAGCTAACCCTGAACCCAAAAACGTTTTCATCTCTTAGTGGCGCATGTTTCACTTCCGCCGCCCTCCGCCGCCCTTCCGCCAGCGGAGGCGGCCTCGTTCTACTACTTCCGCCGACCTTCCGCCGCACTTCCGCCGCCTTCCGCCGCGAAGAGATGACAACTCCTTCCATCCTCGAAGGCAAGGCCCTTCTTGGAACACCCCATGTGTACATTTCAGCGTAGCCCAACGCTTCCCGATGCAATCCTACGACACGTGCCTGCATACAGATACACCCGCGCCCGTGCGCGATCCTCTGTGTGTTCGTGTGGGCTGCTCGCCACTGGTGTTCACTCGACCTCTCCAGAGCTGGGCTCGCCCGTACGATCGGGCTGGGCGAGAGGGGGGGATAGCAAAGGGGGGGGTGAGAATCTCACGTAGCTGATTTTCCCGGCGCCTCCCGGCGCCAGAGGCGCCCATGGATCGAGGAATAGGCCCCTCGGCGGGGCCGACACCAGCTGCATGCAGCGAATGTCGTAACCCCCCCTCTCCCAGTCCCCCCCCTTTCGTTCGGCCCGAGACGAGATCGCACAAGAAGTCCTCCAGATCGACTCCACAAGGCCAACCTGACTACCTACCAGACCATCCCAACCCAACCCGAAGACCCGAATTTCGGGTTGGGGGGGGTACGGGTTCCGCATGTGTTTTCTCGATGTTCCCCGACCCCCCCCAACTGGAAATGGAGGGCAAATCGAAACCTTCGGGTTGGGTTGGGGTGGCTTGGTGGGTGGTGACAACCGGGACGATGGGCCCGGCCAGGGCAGGCGTCCGGTGCACGGCAGGCGGCCCCGCGGCGGACCGCACGGACGGGTCCCAGCCCCAGCCGCCGCCGCGGCGGGCGCCCGCGAGCCGCGCCGCCGCCTCGCCCTCCGGGTGGAGCAGCGAGCCCCCGCCGGCGCTGCTGGACTCATTCCCGCTGGAAGAGGAGGCGGGGGAGGCGCTGGAGGCTGGCATTCCGGAGGCCACGGGCCCCGCGCTCGGATCGGCTGCGGGGGGCGCGCGGAAGGAGGAGCCGAGCAGCAGCAGCAGCAGCAGCAGCAGCAGCAGCAGCAGCAGCCTCGCAGGAAGAGGGGGAGCAAGAGGAGGATGGTCAGGGAGAAGGGGCGAACGAGGAGGCCAGGATCGACCAGGTGGTGGGAAACGAAACGGGGAGGAGGAGGAGGACGAGGACGAGGAGGAGGAGGAGGAGGAGGAGGAGGAAGGACGACGAGGAGGACGACGAGGAGGACGACGAGGAGGAGGACGACGAGGAGGAGGAGGAGGACGAGGAGGAGGAGGACGACGAGGAGGAGGACGAGGAGGAGGAGGACGACGAGGAGGAGGACGAGGAGGAGGAGGACGAGGAGGAGGGACGAGGGAGGAGGAAGGACAGAGGAGGGAGGAGGGAGGAGGGAGGAGGAAGGACAGAGGAGGGAGGAGGGAGGAGGGAGGAGGGAGGAGGGAGGAGGGAGGAGGGAGGACAGAGGACAGAGGAGGGAGGAGGAGGAGGAGGAGGAGGAGGAGGAGGAGGAGGAAGCGGAGACGGGGAGGAGGTAAACAATGTGGAGATAGGGGATGCGGAGAGGGTGTTGAGGCAGCGGGAGGGGCAGGAGGAGGATGTGAAGCAAGGCTGCCTCTACAAGGCTCTGGGCGACTCCGCAGACCTCCCCCAAGGTGCGGATTGAAACTCCCAGACAGTCTGTGGCCTTCTGGTATGGACCCAAGCTCGGGACAAAATAACGACCTGTCGCTCACTGGATTGAGCGAAGCTGGGCGCCGGGAGGCAAATCGGCCTCTGGAGCACTCCTTGGGGCAGGCCCCAGCCAAGGAAGCATCGCTTGACTGGGCCATGTCTGGGCCCATGACGCTGAACGGCAAAACCTTTGGACTCCTGCATCGGTGGCGACTTTCGACCCAAGGTGACTCCCCAAGACCCTCGTGCTGGACCTGGGGACCACCAGCGCGCCGGAGAAATCCGCAGTGCTCATGAAGCTCGCGATGGCACTCTGGAGAGCGGAATTCGACCCCGAAGCAGGACCCAGAGATCGTGTCCCGCCCAACGAGGTGCTCACACTTCCTTCCTCCAGGGCCGGACTTGGCGATTGTCCTATGACCCCACCTCTGCCACGACAGTAGGCGCGTCAAGCTTCGGGGGCCACATGCGAACCCTACCCTTGCCCCCCACGATTTCTGAGGGGGAGGGTGGGGGTCACTTCACTCGGGAGCTCCCGAACGAAGTGAACCCCACCCTGCCCCTCAGAAATCGTGGGGGGTAGGGGTAGGGTTCGCATGTGGCCCCCTAAAGCTTTATCAGTCAGCTCGCCAGC